TCTCCTCATCATCCAGACTGGGCTAAAGGATTCCACCGCCATCTCGATTCATGCAAAAAACAGGCAAAGAGCATCCTGTAAGCCTTGTCTATTCCTCTAACTCAGGCCTAGGCAGAGTACTCTGCATCCCACGGCAAACACTAAAAACCAAATTATGAAAGACTGCATAATAGGTATGGAAGAAATAGAACAGAGATGGTCTAAAAATAATAAGTATTCCTGCGGGGAAAAGGATTAAATAAAGCAAAAAATAATCAAAAGCATAAGAGGGAAAAGAATGAGTTTGCTAAGTTGGGGTGGGCAGGAAGATGAGTCTAGAGATGGAAAGGCTTTACTGTGTTCTAGAGAGAGGTGGGAGGGGACCTCAGACACATTTTGGCAAAGTTTTTGAACTCATAAGATAAAGGATTCTACCCAAATATAAGAAGACATCATATACACAAAATAATGGAAATCAAGCTGGTCTCAGACTTGGACTCTACAAAAGCAAGTAAAACAGGACAGACCCCAGTATTCCCCCTAGCTATCCCTAATAATCCCAGCCAGAGAAGGCCTCGGCTGGGAGGCAGAAAGTAGGTAAAGAAAAATCTGCTTGACCAAACATGATGAGCTCAATTGCTAGAAGTACCAGTAAAGTTGGCTTAACCATAAGATCGGAATAGAGTTAGTTAAACATATACTTTCCTTATGGTTAGCATGATTTCATGGTCAAAGGATGTTTGTCCCTTAACAGAATGGCTTGAAATAACATCTGTGAGGACCTCAGTCAGTATACCAGAAACAGTTGTGCTGACCACCGCAAGCCAATCAGATCCCCACACGACTCCCAAGACCCCTACTCATGATTTTGTTCTATAAATGCTTGTGACTTTAAGCTTTCAAGGGGTTCGGATGTTTGCAGCACTATCTGACCCATTCTCCTTGAGTGGAGCCCCTCAGAATTAAAGCTAATCTTTTCTACTGCAAATCTCTGCATGCAGACTTACTGGCTAGACTGAGCAACAAACAACATACTCCTTTTGGTTTGGTAACACAAGGTTCATAGATATTTGAAGGAGAAAATATTACGCTGCAAGAGTTCCAAACCCAGATAAATCGTCATATATGTTTGAAGGTAACAAACATACTCAAAGGTATGGTGAGATTTCAAAAACATACACCTCTCGGATATTCCTAAAAACAAAAATTTTTTTAACTGAAAAAAAAATACTCTGGTCAATTTGAGAAATGAATCAAAAACAAAATCTTAAGAACGGGTAGGTTTCATTATAAGAAATTGACAATGTACACTGAAACAGATTCAATATGTATGTAACTCTAAATGGTAAATGTAGATAAAATTGAATGCAATGATAAAATTATTCTTTTTTTTTTTTTTTTTTAAAAGATGACCAGGAAGGGGATCTTAACCCTTGACTTGGTGTTGTCAGCACCACGCCCACCCAGTGAGCAAACCAGCCATCCCTATATGGGATCCGAACCCGCAGCCTTGGTGTTATCAGCACCGCACTTTCCCGAGTGAGCCACAGGCCGGCCCAGATAAAATTATTCTTAACAAAGAGAGTTTATAGATAAAAGAGAGAGGAGTCTATAACCCCCTATTCATTTTATAAACATCAGAAAAGGAAAGACTTGTGGAAGCAAAATTGTTAAACATCTTAAGTAACTATAGTAACTTTATTTTTAGAATGACTATTTTTAAAAGTTTTAAAAATCTATAAAAACAAAAAGAAAACAGCACAGAAAAATAAAAAGCAGAAAGCCTAAAATATGATTTCAAAAATAAGGCCAAATACAGTAGCTGTAAAAATAAATCCAACATTTCTTTGCCTTGCCCTTTGGATGTAATGGTAGGAAGCTTCCCAATATTGCTCATTTGTGGGGACCTCAGCATCTCTTGCTGGTTCCCTTAACTCTGACTATACTTCTGAAAGTAGGCCCTTCATTTGTCTTGTTAAACCATCTGGAGTTCACAGAACTTTTTTGTGCTAAAACCATGCTTGATAATACGTAGCAATCTTAATATCAAATTAGGATTTAAAGCTAAAGAGCAGTAAGCAAGATTTTAAAAAACCATAATCAATAGAGGATATAAAACAATATCAAATAAAGCAAAGTTACTTAAAATAAAATTACAAGAGAAAATTTACAGAAATTATGTAGTGGGAAACTTCTAACACACCACTTTTCATCTGTGAAAGATCAAGTATATAAACAAATAAATAAGAACAAAAAGAACTGTATATTTTATAAAGTTCGACTAAAAAATAAATATCAAATTCTACATTCTACAGGAAATACATCTTTTTGTCTATTCAACAAATATTTATTCATTTATCTCATTCATCGTTTATCCTGATCTTCTAGAACAGTGCCTTGCATATGGCATATGTACAATAACCTGGAGGACATCATGCTAAGTGCTGTACAGTCACGAAAGAACAAATACTGTACGTTTCCACGTACAGCATATGAGATGACTGCAGTAGTGAAATTCACAAGACAAAAAGTAGAATGGTGGTGGCCGAGAGCTGCAGGGAAGGAAAAGTGGGAAGTTATTGTTTAATGGGTGTAGGATTTTAGTCTTGTTAGATGAAAATGGTTCTGTGGACAGATGGTAGCATAAAAATGTGAATGTATTTAATGCCACTGAACTGTACTCGTGAAAATGGTTAGAACAGTAAATTTTATATTGCGTGTATTTTACCAAAATTTTTTAAAAAGAATGGAATTCATTTCCTTCCCTTCAATGAAAACCTGCTCCTCTTCTTGAATTCCCCCACTTCTGTGAGTGGCACCATTTTACTAACAGCTGTCCAAGCCTTAAACCTGGCCTTGTCCTTGATATGGCCTCCTTCCTCCCCCAACCCAAGCTGTCACTCAACAAATACTCATGGACTCCTCACAATGCGCTCATGGCTCTCCTTGTAAAATGTCTTGAGCCCATCCTAGTCAGCACATCTCAGTTTCGGGGTAACCTTTATATCTCACCTAGATCACCATATAATCCTTTATATATCACCTAGATCCTGCTCTTCTGTGTCTGGTCCTACACACTTCCATTCTCTTCTCCACCTTGCAGCAGGAGTGCGTTTTCTTTAAAAAGTAAAAACCATCATGTTTCCTCCCCTCTCTAAGTCACTTCAATGGCTCTTTGTTGCCATTAAAATAAAGTCCACAGTCCTTAACTTGGCTTGCAATGCCCATTAGTACTTGGTTCCTCACTCTCCTTCTATAGCCTGAACTCTTGGTTTTGTGCTGCATTCTATTCACTAGCCTTTCCAGAAGCTTTCAGTTCTGGAACTTAACACACTCTGTCCCACCTCTGGCCTTTACACGCACTGTTCCTTCTTGCTCATCCACCCCCATCCCACCCAGACCTTTTTTGCCCAGCCAATTTCTATTATTTACTCTAGGTCCTAGCTTGTAAATCAGCTATTCCAGGAAGACTCCTCCAATCCAAATCCATGCTAGGTGGTCTTCCCGGGTGGTCCTGAGTTTCCATCATCAAGCATTTTTTACACTGCACTGTTTACTTGCCTGTTCTGGCTTTATGGACACAAAGTGGGGGCTCAATAAATCAATAAAGGCTGCAGTTCACTCATAGCCACATAACTAGGTCATTGCAGAGCCAGCAGTGAAACTAGTACTAGCACAGGAACACCAGGACCTGGGTCCAGTGCTCTTGCCAGTACTATGGCACACACGGGTAAGCATCAGGAAACTCACCGACCCAACAGGGGCTGGGACAGACGTAGAATAACCCAGCCACACGAATACACAGAATTATTCTCCAAAGAGACACTGAGATATGCAAAAATTTTTGGTTTGACATTATCTATGCCTTCTCATTATACCTCTCTTTGGGTCTCAATTAGCTGAGAAGGCCTGGAATAGAAGGAAAACAAAACTGGCCAGCTATGATAATGTCCAAGTTCCACTTGACAGAACACTGAATAAACCAACTTTGCCAATATTAATTTCACAGCCTGTCTTTAGATTTGGCATTAGTAAGGAAATGCATGAGGTCCCTCTATGTATACTACATACCAGACAGTGAATTTCTGCTTACTAAACTGGCCAGCTATGATAATGTCCAAGTTCCACTTGACAGAACACTGAATAAACCAACTTTTGTCAATATTAATTTCACAGCCTTTCTTTAGATTTGGCATTAGTAAGGAAATGCATGAGGTCCCTCTATGTATACTACATACCAGACAGTGAATTTCTGCTTACCGCGTTCAAGCTTTGCCTTAAAGAAATCCAGTATGAGCTGAAAAGGAAATGTTTCCCATAATATACACATAGACATATATACAGATGTGAGTATATATGTTCACAATATAAATCACTTAAAATAGTCAAAGTTGTCACCATTTATAAGAGTAGTGATGCAGAAGGGAAAAAATCAAGTCACATCTTTTATTAAATAAAAGACTACAAATACATATAAATTAAAATTATAATTTCATCTTCGGTGCTTGTGATATAATTAATCTCATATTTTACAGATTTATGTCAACATAGCTTGTCACTGAAAAGAAAATTGTATTATGTGTATACTATGAGCATATTACTTTTCATAGCTATATAACATGGCACTACTAGACTCCAGCTGAAACTTGAAAATTACTTTATAGATACCATTCTGAATGTGGATTTCTTGAAACAATGTGTATTCAGGATCACAAGCAGTATATACATTCTCTATAATTCCAAACTCAAGAGAAATAAGCTTACAACTTAATTTAGGAATAAATTGTCAAAAAACCCACATAGCATTATAATTAAATCACACTGAGTTTATCATAATTCCTGACAAATTCCATTTTAATTCATTGGCAGTGAGATGTGTTTTGACATTACATAGTAAGTACAGCACTGCTCTCAAATGGTTATTTAAAAGCAAATAAATACCCTAGAGTGTATTAGCACTAACCAAAATTAAGAATACAAGAGGAAATATGTATGCTTAGCTTATGTAAAATGAGACATACCATCATAAGCTGCTTTAGTAATTGCTTTTGCTGCATTCTTCTGAATATCAGGAACTGTAGAGTTTTCTGCAAATGTTAGGAACATTTTAAGACCTCCTGTCTGCTGAATCAGCACCATGGTATCCGTATCTTCAAGACAATTGGCTATCACTGAAAGTGCTTCAATATGAAGGTCATTCAATTCCTAATAATAAAAGCAAGCACAATTTAAGAAAGCTGTACTAAAAGAAATTTACAGTTTCTCAGTTTTACTACAATAGAGACTAAGGCCAGTCAGAACACAGTGTAATTGACTTTGTTGTGACAGAGGCCCGAGGAAACAGAAGTTCTGTTTATCAAAGTAGCATTGCTCTCCCTGACCATTCGCCCCATCTTTTCTCATTTCCTTACTCCAAAATATGTTATGGATAAAAAATAATGCTCTAGAGGAAACGTCCAGTAATGGTAACCAGTGAAGTTGCTCATACAAACTTCCACCAAAAAAAATTTTTTTAATCTGGAAAAAATCTCTTTTGAAAAAGCAGACAGAAGCTGATAAAAATATATTCCTTAAAATTTGCAACCGATAGAGTGAAGCATTGTGAGCTGTGGCTTTCTTGCCTGAGAAACTTCCTGAATCCCCACAGCAGTGGAAAACTGCAGCCTTATCTAAACAGCTAGAAATTTAAAGGGAGAGAAGCGCAGAAGGGATGATCCACTATCATGGTATTCCACTCAGCCCTGCTTCTTGACCAAGGAACTCACTTCACAGCAAATATGGTGCGGCAATGGGCCCGTGCTCATGGAATTCACTGGTTTTACCATGTTTTCCATCATCCTGAAGCAGTGTGCTTGACAGAACAGTAGAATGGTCTTTTGAAGACTCAGTTACACCACAGCTAGGTGGCAATACCTTGCAGAGCTTCGATAAAGTTCTCCAGAAGGCCATGTATGCACTAAATTAGCATCCAATACATGGCGTTGTTTCTCCCATAGCCAGGATTCATGGGTCCAGAAATCAAAGTGTAGAAGTGGAAGTGGCACCACTCACTATTACCCCTAGTGGCCCGCTACCAAAATGTTTGCTTCCTGTGCCTGTGACCTTATACTCTGCTGGCTTAGAGGTTTAGTTCCAAAGGAAGAAATGCTTCCACTAGGAGCAGTTTAATAATGATTCCATTAAACTGGAAGTTAAGACTGACGCCTGCCACTTTGGGCTGCTCATGCCTCTGAATCAAAGAAGAGACTCTCTATGCAAGAGGAAATTGGATTGCTACCCCACAATAGAGGTAAGGAAGAGTATGTCTGGAAAACAGGAGTTCCCTTAGGATATCTCTTAGTATTACCATGCCCTGTGACTAAACTCAATGGTAAACTACAACAACCCAATCCAGACAAGATTAGAATGGCCCAAACCCTGTAGAAATGAAGATTTGGTCACACCACCAGGTCAACTGAGATGCTTGCTGAGAGCAAAGGGAATACAGGAGGGGCAGTGGAAGGAGGTAGGTATAAGCATCAACTACGACGACGTGGCCAGTTATAGAAACAAGGACTGCAACTGTCATGAGTATTCCTTCCTTATTTTGTTATGAACATGTTTCTGCATGTGTGTCCGTGTGTGTACATAAAGAATCTTTGTGTTTTCCATCTCTTCTTACCACGTAAAATGAGATATACTAACTTTACATTACAGTATTTAAATACTATTAATTTTACATCATAATATTTAAGTTCCAGAATATTAAGGAGAAAAGTAAACATCATCTAAGGGCTTTGCATCCTCTTCTGGGGAAAAAATTAGTGCATTTTCGGCTGTACGCAGAATAGTTGTACCATGCTAGGTAGAAGTACGATCTTTTCACTGTCTTTATACGAAGATTAAGTATGATTTAAGGAGACATGTATGGGTATCAAATTGACAAAGGATGAACTTGTGATGGTTAGTTTTATGTGTCAATTTGGCTAGGCCATGGTAGCCAGATACTTTGGTAAAATGTTATTCTAGATGTTTCTATAAAAGTATTTTCTACATGAGATTAATATTTAAATCAGTAGATTTGGGGTAAAACAGATCACTTTCCCTAATGTGGGTGGGCTTCATCCCATCAGTTAAAGGCCGTAATAGAAAAAGACTGATCTCCCTGAAAATAGAGGGAATTCTGCCTGTAGGACCACCTTTGGGCTCAAACTACACTTCCCAGAGTCTCCAGACTGCTGGCCTACCCTACAGATTTTGGACTGGCCAAGCCTCCACAATCATGTGAGCCAATTCCTTAAAACAACTCCCCCTGAGCACTCTTTTGCTCTCTCTCTCTCTCTCTCTCTCTCTCTCTCTCTCTCTCTCTCTCTCTCTCTCTATATATATATATATATATATATATACACACTCTTATATACATACATACACACACACACACACCCATCCTGTTGGTTCTGTTTCTCTGCAGACCTCTCACTAATACAGGAGGTAACCCAAAATCTGAATATAAAGCATGCCCAGAACTCTGGCTGACCACTAACTATACATGCAAGAAGAAGACCCCAGGGACCCTGGTGAAAATAAACAGGCAAGGACTAGAAAGCAATATATCTTATCCTTGAAAGAGGAGCTCTGCTGGGTGAGATTTGTTAATTTACTGCTTTTAAATAGAGTGCATTCCTCAATCCAAGTGCAGCTCAGCTGGGAGAAAGCTGAAGCCTTACTGGCTTCAGGTGTCAGAGGTCAGAGCCTGAGACTGATAGAAGAGCTACAAATTTAATGGAGGGAATGCTCAGAAGCAAGGAGACCACAGAGAATGGGTGAGTCCCCAAATCCAAGGTAAAATTCTTGCTAGTTCCATGGCTGACCATGGGGAGACTTCCAAGGGTTCAGGCTAAAAACAGCAGCAACTAGGAACTGTAAGAACTGAGCAGAGATTCCAGCCTCTCTACACCATAAAAGAGACAGAATTTGCAGCTTAATGCCTACTAGACCAAAATATCAACGATCCTCAGAAGCACACAACAGAATATGGAATCATGAGAATGTATTATCTACAATGTTCATTTTTTATCAAAAATTACTAGACATGCAAAGAAACAGGAAAGTGTGACTTGAACTAAAAAAAAGGTGGGGGGAAGGCAGTCGATAGAAACCCACTCTGAATAGGGTCAGATGTTGGATTCAGTAGTCAAAGACATTAAAGGAGCTATACGCAGCTATTATAAATATGCTCAGAGGAAAGCTCAACAGAGAAATGAAACTTTAAACATGGAAATTTAAGGCTTGAAAAGTACAAAAAGAAAAATTCACTAAATGGACCTAACAGCATATTAGAGATGGCAAAAGAATCAGAGAACTTGGACAGAAATAAAAAACATTTAACCCCCCCAAATTGAAGAAAAATGAATAGAGCCTTAGAGTCTCATAAAACAATATCAAGCAGGACAACATACATGTATTTGAGTACCAGAGAAAGTGAAGAAGCAGAAAAATATATTTGAATAAATGATGACTAAAAAATTCCCACATTTAGTGGAGAATATTAATTTACAGATCTAAGAAGATCAAGAACCCCAAGCAGGATACACAAATTACACCACTTCTACGCAGAACAGAAATGCAGAGGCCCAAAGATAAAAGGGAAAAATCTTAAAAACAGCTAAAGAAAACTGACACATTGTATACAGGGAAATAAAATAATAAGATTAACAGTGGAATTCTCATCAGAAGTAATGACATTCAGAAGAAATAACAAAATACTATTACTCCAGAACAATTCTGATGAGAATTCCACCATTAATCTTATAATTACTTTAAATATGTTGAACTTGCAGAAGGAGAGAACAAGCCCAAGGATACTAGAGATGGTGGGATAGTGAGGGGGTTGGGGAGTGATTGGTCAGGTAAGGGGCATAAAAAATAATTACAATTTGTAATAATGAATATGCTAATAAAAAAGAAATAAAATGCTAAAACGGAAAAAAACTATCAGCCGAGAATTTAGTGTCAAGCAAAAAGTATGAGGGTACTTCAAAAAGTTCATGAAAAAATGAAAGATAATACAAATCTTTTCATGAACTTTTTGAAGTACCCTTGTATCTTTTCAAAACTGAAGGCAAAAGGAAGACATTTCCATTTAAATTTTTAAAACTGTGAGAATTTATGCCAGCATATCTGCACTAAGAGAAATGTTAAATGAAGTTTCTCAGGTTGAAGGGAAATGACCCAGTTGGCAACACGGATCTAGAGGAAAGAATGAAAAACATAAGAAATGGTAAATATATGGGTGAATATAAAAGACTAAATATTGATGGATAGATGAATATGTAGATAAATAGACAGACATAACACACACACATATGTACATAGAATTTTTTTTTTCTTTTTTTTTTTTTTCCTTTTTGTCTTTTTTACTGACCGGCAACGGGATCGCAA